CGCATAATCTCACGGTACACTCGAGTTTCATAGCGCGAGTTGCACTCATCGTTCATTATAGACTTGACGCGTTCGCTCGGTATTTACATTATTTTAAAAATATTGTTCTGTGTTAAATTTATATATATTTTTTATGTATAAATGTATCGCTATGTTAAATACATAACTCTCATATCATTTCTATTTCAGGACCATATTCTCATAATCGTATCCTGGTAAAAAAAAATTACAACATGTAAGTACTGAATTTAACAAAGGTTATTTCAATATAGCATGAAAATACTATGATGTAACTTAATTCTTTGAAATTATGTTGTGCAACCTAAAATAATAACGTGACAACCCTATGCTTCGAGTGACGTGTAGACATTGACGACGCGAACAGGCAGTAAAAAAAAAAAAAAAAAAAAGGTGTTACACTACTTGTCTTATTGTAGGTACTTTGTTTGATAGTTTCCCACAGCCGGCACCTGCACCGCTGCCTCCCGAGTCGCCACGGGTTTAAGGCGGCAAATCACCGGGCCACGATGGGCTGTTTCAAGCTCATTCCCTACGCTAGCGCCGAATTTATCGCGCGCTTGTGACTCTTTTTACCATGCTAATTAAATATTTACCTACCTCGTATCATATCATTTGCATCTCGGTACTGATATCATACTGGTGACCCTGACGGGATTCAGTCACATTGACACATCTAATGAATGAATACAGGCAGTGAGGATAAAGAATACAAGTTTAATAGCATTGGCTATAGGTTTATAATATAATTCAAAGTCATTCAAAGAATTATTTATTCCATAGGTAAAATAAATTTACACTCGTAAACGTCACTTTAAGCTACTGCTCGTTCACTACGCTGACTTCCCTGATTTCCCTGATAAGAACGAGCAGTAAACTCTAGGGATTGTTCTTTTCAAATAAACTTAAATGCTATGGAATACACTTTGAATCAAATTTGTGTGGAATCTAGAGTCATGTCGTCTTTCCATACATTCCATTCCATTTTTATGTAACACGTAGTCTTCAGTTTTGTAATATGGCTTTTCAATCAAAATATTTTGAATGTAGTTTTTAAACGTAGGAAATAATAGTCTTAATATACGTTGCGGAATCTTATTGTAAAAACGTATAGTTCCCCATAAAAGAGTCGTTTACCTTGGTTAAACGAAATCGTAGATCCATGAGTTTAGACTTCGCTCTCAAGTTAATATTATGGATATCTTCTTTCTTATTGAAATTATGTATATTTTTATGGGCATATAAAATATTTGAGTAAATGTACTGTGATGCACAGTCATGCACAGTCATGATACCAGTCTCCTTAAACTTTGCTCCGAGAGAAACCCGAGAACCTAAACGGTACACAGAACGAATCGCTCGTTTTTGCAATACAAATATGGTTTGAATGTCTGCCGTTGACTATTGGCCATAAATGGCAAAATTTCAGAGGTTTTACAGCTAACGAGAAACGTCTGTATTAGTCAAGCGCTGTTTGGCTTTCGTCGCAATCTCTTTGCTGACTCAGCGATGGGTAGGGGAGAGCGGGCCTGAACGTTCCGATTTTCAAATAAGTTGAAATTTTATACTGAAAATGAAGGATTTGATTTTCAAATATTGAACAAATGTTTATCGCTTTTTTTAATAGTATAGTCACTTCTACTAATATCTCAATAGTATTTTTCATACAGGCAAATTTTTGACCAATTTCGGAGCGGAACATTCAGCCCCGCTTTGGGGCGCGTTGTTCCGCCTTTGAGGCAAGTTGTTCCGCCTAAATTATCACAGGATAACAAGGATTTTCTTAAACAAAACCACCTTTTTTATAATTGTACGTACATAATGTTTATATTATGCACAACTAACTTAAAAAAAAAACTACATTATTGTGCATCAGTAATATTATTCATAGCTCATTTCTTCATCTGAATCACAGTTGAGACACACATAAGTGACTCTGTCATTTTATCTAAATATTTGACATTAGCCCCTTTGTAGTTTCGCATCCTTAAAACAAAGGAAAATGGTCATAAGAATTTTAAGTATGATTGCAGGTCAATTGGGGAAGTTGTTCCTAGGAATAACCAGCCCCTCGAGGAAGGAACTTATAGCCCCAAATTACGTTTTTATACGAAGACTGAAATACCGGCAAACTAATAGAATCAATGAAACAAATACTCGAACAATAAGATTCCTTACTAATGTCACTACAATGTAGAAAAGTTACGTATGAATCGGCCCATAATAAACAAAGACAGATCAAAAAATTTAAACAAGAAAAAATTTACTTACGTGATGTTTTGACAGCTCCATGCACGTAGCCACACTTCCGTCGTCGCCGGAGTAACTGAAATGGCTGCCGAGAATGCGCATCACCTGACGCTTTAACGACGTGCTTCACATGTATTGCTATATAATTTTCTTGCAAAGTTATTGCTGTGAGAACAACTTACCCCGGGAACTACCAGCCTCGGTCTCCTACTGTGTTTGAACGCACAAACCGTTATCAATACAGGGAAATATCCGTTTATGCCTGTGTTTTTACATCAAAGTCGTCCTTTTGACCTTATCAATTACGACATTGATGTCGAAATGCGATGAGATGCTGTCAAGTTACATGTTGTGTCTATTAAGGAACTAGTATGGGGTGTTATTATAATGTGTGCTTCAATAACTTTCGCTACACTGACATGGTGCTTCTTAGCCAATCTATCGTAAGATTGCACCGGAGTATTGGCCATCTGTAAGAACTTCGGCTCCACGCATGTGGTGAAGCACAACACCAAAAAGACGCAGCTAATGATGTTTAGATATTTTGAAGTCTGATATCTCTCTATACTGTATTTAGATCGCTAGAACTAGTTAGAGGGGGTGTAGTCACACGCTCGTTGAAGGCTACGCTCCTTGTAACATGCTGCTTCGCCAGATTAGCGGTGTAAATACCTCGTGTAGCCTTAAAGATTTCGTGGTTTTTTCCGGTTAAAAGGATGACACCTGAGATGAGACATGAGTGCCGATCCTAAAATGGCAGACGGCGGCGTCAGTTACTTTTTTCGAGCGGCAATCTTTGAAGTCTAATTTGCGTGGCGTATTTTTACGTGTTCAAAAGAAACACTAAAATACTGTTAACGTTTTTTTACGCAACAAACTGATCACTGAATTTATAGCTATTGTTGTAAATGTGATGCAATCCATACGATGGGTGGTGAGATAATTGAAATGTTGTAAGCAATCGTGGCTTACTATTATTTTTACTATGTATATTTTCATTATCTGTAATATTAACAACGTTGAATGCAGTGACGACACTGACCTCTTGTGGTTGAAATGGCAACAAGAATGACAAAAATTATTACAACTTTTGTATTGTAATAAAAAAATATCTAAATAAGGCTTAAAACAATAATGTCTCGGTACTAAAACGTATCATAAGTACAATAAACGTATTTTCCGCCTCTGTTATCGATTACGCAAATAGCTTTATTGCAGTGAGGATACTGCTTAATTGTATGTTTATCTTCCGCTTATACTCTTCGGTATTTATTACATATGCGTCGTTTGAGAGCAGAATTCGATAAAATAAATTACAGGTAGATAATTACATAAAGTATTGCTGATAACACGCGCGCGTGCGGGCTATGGTGTATGATCAAAACATGAACAAAACGCAAACCGCTGTGCTATTATGGTCGTCAAAGTAGACGAATTTTAGAGTTATTAAATCCAAAATAGCATGATTACGTTTTTTCATGTGATACAAACATGTCAACATTATCATCCCATTCCTGAGGACGGGTCTCCTCTAAAGAGAGGATTTAGATCTGTGCTAACAATGTACGGCCCTCGAAGATCGCGAATATACTTTGACAGCTTTGTCAAATTCGACACATAACATATAATTATGTCAACATGTACAAAAAATGACATAACACTGCTCAATATTAATAAAAATATTTCAAAAGGAAATCAAATGAAATACTTAATGAAAAAGGTTGCACAACCCTGATTTAGGCCATTGACCAAGCGCCGGCGCAAGCCTATGTAGCAATACCCTGACGCCCTCTATTGGGAACGCGATCAAAATGGAATACATACAGTCATTTACCACATTACCACAGTGATCGGAAATTGAGGTGCAAATGAAGCAATTATAAATGATGTTGGGAAATAATTAATAAGTAGCAGTAGAGCTCCTTGTGAAAGAGTTCGTCCAGGGAAGTACTGCCACTTTAACTATTTCTGCCGCCAAGCAATAATGTCAGTATTACTGTGTTCCGGTATTGAAGGCTAAGGGTGCTGGTGAAATTACAGGCACGTAGGACTTGTCAAGTTATGTCTCAGGGTGACTTAAAACTCTGAGTGGCACTGCAACTGTCATGGACAGGCGTGTGGCTTACTATTAGGCGCATGACTTGCTCGTCTCGTCAGTCTTGATATTATAAAAAAAGTTGGCTTTTTACTTCGGTTGCTCCGCGAGAGACGTAAGCTTTCCACGGGCCGCGTCGCGCGAGTTCGCGCCAACGTGCCGTGGGAAGAGGGCCGTCCGAGCTCGCCTTTGCTCGACCGTGGTGGTCTGTTTTTGGATCCGCCGTGTGTAACATGACACACACCCGAATAAGCGCCACTACACACGCGCCCGGACTTCTTTTTGCCTTTGAAAAACGGGCCGGGTAAAACCGCCACTGCAAAGACTCTGGTTTAATGCAGGTAGCAGGCTTTACATGTTTTGTGTACCTTTTTCGACATTTAGGTTTCATCACGATGTTCTTCACGGTTAGCGAAAGATTTTGATTTATAAATTTAAATTTTTTTATTACACTGATAATTATCCGCGCGCTGTCATGAACGAACTTTATCACGTTTGTAAAGTTATATAAATTCGATATAAAGTTTACAACCTTCCCTTCAAGATATGTACATTTTTATATTATTACCTAATCCTACAACCATAAATTGGATTTCGATTTCCTATATAAATTGGAATTCTTTACGAAAACATTCAAATTCTTTAACGTCGAGGTAAGTAATTTTAATCATTGTTCTGTTCAACGAAAACGTAATACTGTCTAATAGGCTTTAATTTCGATGTATAACAAGACTTATTTCTTCGGAATTAAGGAATATTAAGGATATTGTGACATTTAAAATAAATTCATTTATTTAAATCCAATATTCAATTATAAAGGTTTATTATTTAAATACCTATAAGTAATGATATACTTAATTTTTTGTTAAAAATATTTATTGCCATTTTAAATTTATAGTTAAAATAAATATTAATTTGTAGTAGATTATGTAGTGCAGAGTTTCTCAAACTTTTTGTCTTGTTGACCATATGTCGACTTTTTCTTTTTTTTTAACTTATATTGACTTCTTTTTCCATAACTGAACTTTTTGAAATTCGCAGGTAGGGAATACCAAGCTGCCATCATGAAATTCTTCGCCCTCTTTGCTGCCGTATTGGCCCTTGCTGCCTCTACCCCTATTATATCAACTTGGAATCTTCATGAACTCGCTGCAGCTATCGAGAATCCTGACACCGACCCGGCTATACTTCCGTATCTGGAGGCTGCCCTTAACCAGATGATGGAAGATGCCTTCAGCGGTCAAACCCCAGTAAGTTTCAGTATGCACTTTTAACTTCCATAAAGCTCAATTTACATTAATTGTAACGTAATTCATTTGAAATGATTTTAAAAATTAATTTGAAAATAAACTTTGATTTTATGATGATTATTTGTTGGTATCTTAAATTTGCGGTTATACGTAATACTATATAAAAGGAAGGTAATTTTATGTAGCGACATTTCATATTGGTATTTCTTTTATTTATTTGGCCAGTGTTACACTAATTAAATGATCAGAAATAGACATGCAAAATCTTAAAACTAAGTGCATAATCTATTATGGGTGTCCATCTATAATACTACATACTATAATACTACATGCACAGTAAATTATTGCAGAATAAAAATAAGTTATAATAAACACACGCACACAAGAATATACAGAAAATAAACAGTACAGAGTACTAAAGAAACCGACCTTAAAAGTCAGTCCCCCTAGTCGTAACAGTCGAATTGAGAATCTCCTCCTTTTTTGAAGTCGGTTAAAAAGAAAATTGTAAGCATTAGCTAACCACGTAAGTCATTTTACAAAAACAAATAATAAAGCCGTTGGTATAATAAAACCACGTGTCATAAGTCAAAGTCATAAAAATAATACGAACAACATGAAATTATGTACATAATATATGGTACGTGAAGTTTTTCAGTTCTTCTATTTAAGCAATAATGATAATGAATGAAATAGAAAACAAAAAAATGATATGACTATGACTAAGCTTAAAAAGCTCAAATTATTTTCATGATTATTATGTGTTACTTTTTCCTACGTTAACAGTAATCCGTGACAAGAAAAAACACGCAAAATTCACACACCCTTTAAGTAATATATGTCTGAGATAAAAAAATTGCACAAAATAATTTTAACGTCGTTTCTAGAATTCATACCCTTGGTATGTATCTATGTATATCACATGTAACTTTAATATACTTAAAGTTACATGTGATCATGTCATGTGATACGTGAAAAATGATTTTATCACATGGAAGTTATAAAAATAATACGAACTACCTACATGAAACAAATTATATATATGTGAAATTTCTATTTAAGCATAAATAAGTTATCGACTAATCTTATTCGTAGAATCTTTAAACCTCTCTCCTGAAATGTAGTCACACGACAGGGCGCGACTTGAGCGAGAGCGACATAAAGCGCGTGATTTGTATGCGAGAATAGCAGTATTTCGAGCTTTATCTCGCTCTCGCGCTAGTAGGTTTTTATAATTTTCTGAGGAACCCCATTGTTTATTGTTATTATTTACACAATTTAAACATTAAGTTTTATTATAATACCATGAGCTAAATCATTAAATCGTCAGTTTAAAGGTAAAAGCGTTTGTAAGTGACATTTTCCACAAACGTCACAACATTTTATAGCTATGTTGAGAAAAGTTAAATCTCAATAATAAAAAATCTATAAACTATTATTAATAGAAAAAGCTATAAAATTATTACTATTAGCGGAGCATTTTACATATAATTTAGAAGCTGTTTGTGAAAAATGTCATTTATGTGGTTTTACATAAAAGCAGACGAAATTATTGGTCTAAAGTTCTGGCTACTTTCAAAATATGTAATATGTGGTTTTAGTGTAGTTCAAATAAAAAAAAATTAAGGCTTCTAATTTAAGCTGTGCATTATTCACTTGTTTTCTATTTAGTTCGTTATGAAATAAACTGACTGCTGCTAAAATTCTAGACAATTCGTACCCTTGGTATATATCATATCATAGCATGTAATACGTCAAAAGCGTTTTTATCACATGAAAATCATAAAAATAATATGAATTAGGTACTCTTCTATTTAAGCAAAAAAGTTATCGACTAATTTTATTGGTAGAATCTTTAAAATTCTGTTTTGAAAACTGGTCATTGTGCAGATGTGGCCTCGTTATATCAAGGCATATGGTCTCGTTATACATTGACTTACAGATATTTATTTTCCTTTTATTCAGTTTTGAAGTCTGACTGTAAAATTTCTTCATCGCCCTCGGAGTTTCAGTGTCTCTTTAGACCCCATATTATTAAAAACGTAATGTAACGTAACGAGATCAATACGCATGAATTGAGAAATAATATAAATTACGAAAACTATTGGCTTACGGAGAATAAGAAAAAATAATTAAATCTCTAATTCAGTCCCCAGTGATCATTTCTGTGCCAGTCCAAGCAACCTGGACTTTGGAGCAGATCACCACACAACTACACGACCCCAACACCATCCCAGCCTTGGTGCCTTACCTCGAGAGCGCTCTTAACGAACTGATGTATGCTTTGCACAGTGGACAGGATGTGGTAAGATTTCAAACCGTGAATTGATAAACCCATGTTTTATTAATTAGTGAGATTTGCTGAGAACGCAAAATCTTTTAAACAAGTACTTTTGGTTTGATTAGTTATATTGTTAATTGTAGTACGTCAGCCCGAAAATAGTCTAATAACTAATAGGTATTAACCTGTAAGATATTTTGGAAGGTTTGAACAAAAAAAAAAGGTTTAAACACTGAGAACTTGTTATCGCTACGCATAGCGAAGTCAAGAAGACGGTACTCTACTGCAACAAGATAAACATAACCTGAAGTGGAGTCTACAATGTCTTCTTAGACCTCTGAAAGTTGAAACAAATTGTACAAAGCTAAAAATTTCGTCGGAAATTCAACGATCATTATAGACGACTTGTATCCACAGAGTAAATGAAAACTCAGGAGTGTTTGTTGCCTAACTTTAGAGGCATTATTTATATTGCAAACATTTCCATAGAGTGAGTGAGATTGGGTGATCTGTATGATGATCTGGGCATAGAAAGGGAGCACAGGGTGTTGGCTGTTCGGAGTAATATGCTTGCCCGTAGGTTTGCTCGATATTCATATCAAGGAAAAGTTACTTTTTTTAAAGCCAATCGTTTTACTTGAGTAGCTTGTGGGTTAGGTATACGAAACGAGCCTATAACTCCCTGTGTGTACAGTACAAAAACGCATTTAGAGTGCTAATGGGACCGCTGAGCAGGTGTAGTGCATCAAGCATGTTTGTGGAGACTCATAACGGCCTTATGCGGAAGAAAATTGTCGCTGTGTTGAGTGCCGTGAGGCAAAGTCCCAACAGCTTTCTGAATACGATTGCTGGAAGATATGACTGTCCTATACTGAAATGCTGGATATAGCCAATGAAGGACGTAGGCCAATTTGCAATATAATTTGAATTTTCTATACTTTTAATCTTATTTTGTAATTTTTCTAATCTTGTTTTTAATTTTATAACTTAAATCTGTGACGCTGAAAAGTTCTAATTTTAGTTTATTTTACTTTAGATTTAATGATTTTATATTGAATTTTTATTTTTTATTGGATATTTTTAAAATTATAAATTGGAATAGGAAAATATCCAACTATGGTCTACGGACTGAAATAAACAATTGTTACTAATATAGACTGCCGTCACCGTTAACATTCCTGCGATGAACGTGAACATTTGGACTTTGGACAAGCTGTCTCAAGCCGTCGTGAACCCAGACACCGACCCCGAGCTCGCTATCTACCTCACACATGCTCTCAATCAATTGATGGATGCGATTATATCTGGTGAACAGACTGTAAGTTTTCTTTCCTTAGTATTTTCATTTAGAAACATTGGTTGAAAAGTGAGTGCCTACAGAGTAGGTAGGTTTCATCTTTTGAAACTTAATCTATAACCATTACCAGTGAAATGAAACACAATTCTAATTTGTTAATATGATTACTTACACAAGTCATTAACCGAGATCTCCACTGCATGAAATTGATAACGATTTCATGCATTAACTGCATGCAGTTGAAACTGATTTCATGCAGTCGACATCTAGAAATAGAGAAGAAAAGTAATTTAATTTGTTTGAAAACTATACTGTCAAATCATTACTATGACAACTGCGCTCCGATTGGCCAGCCTGAATTAAATTGTTTGACTTCAAATCGACCAATTTAACTTGAGCTGTGCTATAATAGAAAAAATTGAAAAATTACATTATTTAATATTTAATTACCGATGAAATCTGATTTCGTTTGTTTTGTAAATAGACGTTTTGGTCTTTTTCCCACACCAACGACGGGAATTGTTAGAGATATTATCTTTATTACAAAAAATACTGAATATTTTTGGAATATGCGGAGACACACACACACACAGGTCAGTTGTTGGCGCTGTACTATTTCAGTTTTGTAATTTGTGACTTAAGCGCAAACGAGAGTTGATATTTAAAAGTCATATAACGCCCATTTACCTGATGAGATTCCATTGATGGATGACCTTCTTTCGTCTCTATTTCTGGTTATATAGGTACTCGATGTCACGCATTAACTGCAAACATGCAGTCAAGATTGACTGCAGCCTCACATGGTAAACTTATTTCTTCAAGTGTTGTTTTCATTATAGTAGAGTTTCACCATTTTTCAGACTTCGATCGCTGTAATCACTCCTCCCGGCGTACCTGTAGTAGCTCCCGAGCTCATCAATCCTGTGCCAGCTGTCATTGACCCGCCTACTTTGACCCCACTTCCCATTTTCCCCATTTCCCCCGAACTCACAACACCTGAAGAGCCTGTTCAGCCTGCCGTCTCCAGTCCCCTTGTGCAGGTCATCATAAATATCAAAGCTCAGGAAATGGTAAGATACTCGTATTATTTTGCAGTATTAAATGAATCTATCAGCACAAAAGTGGTGTAACCCACATTATTTTTTTCTACAATATTACTTTAGATGCTAAACTATATAATTATTATATATTTGGATGCAGTAGTAGTAACAGTAGAGCTTCCAGTGAAAGATTATGTCCAGAGACGTACTGCTACCTTTCCTATTTCTGCTGCACAAATATAAATGAAATAATGTGAGCATTACTGCGTTTCAGTTTAGAAGGGTAAGAATGCTGGTGAAATTACAGGCACATGGGACTTGTCGATTACGTCTCAGGGTGAAGGGCACAGTGGCAGTGTCCTCAGATCTTTGCTATTTAAAGCTCTGAGTGGCACTGCAACTGTCATGGATAGGCGTGTCGCTTACCACCAGGCACACGACTTGTTCGTCCCGTCACTTGGTATTATAAAATAAAAGAATGCTGTTTTATTAAAAATTATTTATTATATGGTCATAAATAATTATTTCTTTTGTATGCATTTCATGAGGTTACGCTAATTTTGCGTTGGTACGCTCAAATGTAGCCTTTTTACGCATGCTTTATATTATGTTTACGAGTCTATACAACCCTAATGGGATTGGTTAATTACGCATACAGTGAAAATATATAGTAAAATAAAAAATTTAAAAAAACAATTCTCAGTTCGACTGTATTTTTTTATTTGTATGTATGTGACGCGATAACTACGGAATTTGTGAACCAATTTTCATGATTCTTTTTTTATTGGAAAGAGGGTACCTCCATAGTGGTCCCATTGAATTTTGAAGAAAATCATCCACCTCTAAGGGTAGCTGTTCACGCATGAAGATTCATTTTTATAAATAGCGCCTAAATGTTATTATAAGGAGCAATAATTTTAATGGTTGATTTTAATATTCTCCAATTCAAGGCGTTTTTCTCTCAATGTACTTTGAGTAGTGAGAATCGATTTTTATTATCTCCTGTATCAAGTCCAGTATAGTAGCGAACTAGGGGATGAATCCGGGTTTGCACACTTTCCGGTAATCGATTTCAATAAAACTTGGTAATTATATGTAATTCCACGTACTTTTGAGGTCGGTTTTTTCGTACTCGATATACATCTTTCAAATGGCTTTAACTTCGTTTTTAAAAAAAAGAATTTTTGAAATAAAGCCAGTGTCCCCGCCACTCGACCCAAGCAAAATTAACCGTATTAGTACGTGAATTATTTGAATTCGTGCTGGGATAGTGTCGGCTCTTAAGGTATTTTTTCTTGGTGTATTCTCTAATGAATGTCTTTTTTTTAAGTAGCACTTTTTATTGTACGTTTTGGTTGTGGTAAAAGCCGTAGTAGTCCTACCGCCTCGCAAGTAGAGGGTAGTGAGTTCGAATGCGAGCTCGTACCTCTGAATTTTCGGAATTTATGAGCGAAATTTATTTGAAAATTAACAATGAGCTTTTTGGTGAAGGAAAACATTGCGACGAAACTTATTTATCTTTATGCACATATTATAGCAATTCCTAGAAAAGCAAGTAGTGTTACGGGAGGGGCCAGCTATGTGTGACGTTCCCAATCCACATTGAGCCCACGTGGGAACTTCATCCCTAGCCATGTTCATTGTGAGAGTAGGTCTGTGCCCAGCGGTGGGACTACATATAAAAAAAAAAGTGATGGACATGGTATCCGAAAGGGTAAAAGCTGTTAAAACTTAACTTCATAGAGCTAAAAACAGTTGTAACAAAAATGTGTGTTTATTTTCAGACACCCACCCCTGTAATGGATCCCCTCGTCGCTGCTTCCCTTGCACGTTAATCCAATGATCGATACTGGTCCTTGGGCAACCATAATACTACGAAACATGGCGAAATAAAATACCATACTTGTTAATGCTGTTTATTTAATAATTAGTACCCCTGACGCTGTTTGAATGTACTTTTTAAAATATAAAATGATTTTGAAAAAGTTATGAATATTAAACTATGATAATTATGAAACATTACGTTATATAAATTTTTACATAATATATACATACATCTTTAAAGTTATTTTGGTGTCTACGTGTATACGGAATTCAATATCTGAAATATATATTATTGTAGGTAGAAAGATAGTTAAAACGTTTATTTGGATCTATATAATTATCATTGATATGTATCTATTTGTACACCGTAGACGTAGTTTAGTGCGGTCGGGCTGCTCCCCTTCAGGGTTCAGTCCAGTCACACATAACCCCGACTATGCCCATGCGGGGCCGGGGTGCCTGTAAGCAGATTAACAAAAAAAATGTTTATTGCTTCATTAAATACCAAAAAATATAACCCACATCCTCTCCAATTCTTGTAATTCTATCTACAATATTAGTCGATAGAGATACAAGTATTGGAGAGGATGTGGGTTATATTCTTCTGTATCTAATAGAGCAATAAACGTTTTTGACGTAACTCCACTTAAGCCATTCTGCTTTGCCTACAGCGATCGCAGACTTACCCTTAAACATATTTTAAAAGAAATTATTTGACTTGTGTGTATACATATATGATATCAAACATTATTTAAAATGAAAAGAAATTGTCTCAACGTCGATTATAACAATAACTGTTTCAATATATTTATAAGATTTTATTAATAGTTCATCTAATGTAATTAAATCACTACAAGGACTTACTTTTAAATTACAATTGACAAAATGGCTTTTGACACATGGCTTTTAAAGTAATAAAGAATATTTAGTACTTACAAATCATTGACCTATCAACAAATACTAATTCGAAACGCAAATTGATTTGTAATTGTAGAGACAAATGTGAAATACCATTAACATTTGCACACCTGCGTGCAAGTTGAATACAATTTTAGGTACATTTTACTCAAGATCTGTATAAATACTGTATTCTGGCAAATAAACGTATTCTATTCTATTCTGTCATTAAATATCCATGAGGGGTGATTATATTCGATAAACTTAAAGTAGCACATGCATCTGTTTATCGTCATTGGGATTTAGTTTTTTTCCATCTTCAAAATATAAGTTATTTAAGACGTTATCTAATCACGCATTTCAATCTGCAACGATAAACGGGTTTACAATAGCTCAAAATAGACAACTCCGGCTGCATGCTATTCACCTGTAAAACACTTACGATAAAGACGCTCCAAAGTACCAAACATTAAAAGGCTGTGTTGTTTTCTGTACTTAAACAAAGCGTTCTAACCTGTTAATTATATAAAGGCTTATTCTAAAGTAATCATCATGACAGTAGTTTTTTAAATGATTTTAGACTTCACATAAGTGGCAACACGGTATGGCTCTAAAGTTTGAGTATTTTCGTTGACAACAAAGCATTGAAAAATTTAGTAATGTGAAACATTGACCGTGGTGTCTGATTTGATATATTTTTGGCATTCTGTGATCGATAATGTTAGGACTCTTATCTGTTACTCGGTTACTCCATAGTCGAAGCGATGAAAATCACAAGTACCTACACATAGGAAATGAAACAATTTTTTGGTTTTTTCAAACAAACCTACGCTGCGAGTACTTACAGGTACCATGGTCACGGCTGACTGATTTAGATCTTAAGAAATCTAAGAACTCGATACATACCTACAACTAGGAAGAATGTCGATGCGCTACCGAAAATTGTTGTCTTTCGTTATCTCTCTTTTTTCAATAGTTCTGCGTGTGCGCAAAACTTTATTCCTTTATTGAAAAATAAAATCCCAATAGTCTGTACTCAATATGACCTGTGACCTCAATTATCAGAGTCAGAAGTCGCAATTTTAAATTTGAGCTTCGTCACTTGTAGACTTGTAGAATTGTATTATTTACGCTAGTTTCTAATTTCATGTATACTAATTCAGGAACGGCCTAGTTATGCCGTTCGTAGTTTATGCAATTTGAGTGGATGCATACGATTACTAAACGATTTTGAATCCCTTAGAATCCTGTACAATCTAACAATCTTGTAAATACAGTGTTCACGTCTTGTTCTTGCTACACAAACTATCCTTGTTGATCTTAAAAATGGTATTTATTTCGTTTACTTAATTATGAAATAGAATACGCGCTTGCTTATGACAATGCCTTGATTGCAAATCAGTAGAAATTATGACTAAACATAAAAATATAATACATAAAAATGCTGACGCGGTAACATACTTAATGTGCGGTGTTAACCGTACATATTCCCGGGCCAGGGATGAAATAAGATGAAAAGAGATGTTAAATTAATAGAAACATAAAAAAAATATTTTTAACAATTAGGCAAGTTCAGAATTAAACATACACCAGCACGGGACTTGTCGATTTGTTCTTGGTACAGAAAGTGCGCGCCGTGGGGGCTGGTGCGTCTCGGTCACTTAGTCGCCGCTCACGCCGTGTTCCCTCCGTCGCTACCACCGCTGCTGCCGTTACTTGTGCCGCAGCTGCATGAACTCTTTCTCGAACTGTATTGCCATTCTGTTCTCGCAGAGTATAGCACCATCTGTATGAAAAGCGCCGTACCAAAACTGCCAAACTGATCACAACAATTATTACCAATATAACATAATGATGGATGTCATGAAACGATACAGTCTCTGGCAGAATCTCATTGGTTTGCGTTTTTTGTATCTTGCTTTCTATCGATGATAATGCTTATTTAAATTCTTCATGCGATTTGTTTGACTGTCTTTATTAGGTATCGTGATTGTTTGTAATGAAAAGAAAAGCTTAGTAACAGTAGCTACTTTAGGTACCTATTTCTGCTTACTTATTTGCTTCTCACGTAATCTAAACTCATCGGTTACTGGACAATGAGTTGTTCCTTGAATTGACTGTGTATTTAGGCGTTGTAAACTCTTTAATTAGATCTTTGGTAGTAAGAAATTGCTAACGCCTAAATCACGAGGCTAGATTTAGGTAAATGTGGCGTTACAATCACGTAGTCATCAACCCATTTATACGTCACACTGCTGGGCATGGGTATCCTCTCAGGCGAGGGGACTTCACACGTTTCCCAAGGATTGTGAACTTTCTTCGGCTCGTAGGTTTCATCACGATGTTTTGCTTGCACCGAAAAGGTCAAAGTAAATTTCGCACATAAATTTCGAGAAACTCAGAGGTGCGAGCCCGGATTCGAACCCATGGTCTCTGTTTGGGAGACGGTATATCAGACCATTAGGCGACCACTGCTTACATTTACTGTTTATCGGCTTATATTTACATTTTCGTAGATGTAGGTAGTAAAATGGCCAGACATTAGAATGCTGTAATTTGTTGAAGATTCACTGTTTACTTGATCAATCCTTTGTGTACTTTGTCATAGCAAAACTGAAGTATACGTGTTATACAATAATGATGAATCAGTTGTGCTTATCGTAGATTGTGCATGATTTATAAAACACAGGTGTCCGGGAGTGGTAGTTAGTGAGTCTGTTGCATTTTTGGGAATACCTTCATTACGTAATAGAATTGTAAGTTTTACAAACAGGTTATTTATCGTGTAGAGTTGAATAAAACTGTTGGCTAATTGTTGAGGGTTCACGGGAATAACAAGCGTTTGACAAAGTATTTAGACAGCGAATCACAACGTTTGTTATTTGTTCTACGCAACGTGCTCCATAGACTAACAATTATTATTACACTACTCTAATTCAAGGGACCTTAACTTTTATTTAGGGAGGTGTAATAAGAATTAGGGAGATAAGGTTCCTAATTCGGGCGGTTTATATATACAGTAGAGCTCATTGTGAAAGTGTTCGTCCATTAAAGTACTGCCACCTTACTATTTTTGCGGCCGAACAATAATGCTCACATTATTGCGTTTCGGTTTTGAAGGGTAAGTAAGGGTGCTGGTGAAATTACAGGCACATGGGAGTTGTCAACTTATGTCTCAGGGTGACGGGCGCAGTGGCGGTGCTCCTCGAATTATTGCGATTTATAATTATTTGCTCCGAGTGACACTGTAACTGTTATGAACAGGCGTATCGCTTACCACCAGGTGCACGACTTGTTCATCCTGTCACTTGGTATAAATAAAAAAAAGTTAATAACAACGGCGCCTTAACTTAGGGTCACACCGACGCTTGTCGCAGGGCCCTTGAAATTGGTTAGTGTAATTAAGCGATTTGCTTAGTAACTTATTTTTTGTTTCTTTTTTAAAGTTAGTGATTGGGTAGCAGTGGGAATAAAAGTAAAGGCTATACGAAATTCACGATGAAAGGATTCACAACACTACTGGCAGTTTTAATGGTTTTGTTTGAAGGTATTACTAAATGTTGAAGTGTGTATGTGTTGCATTTAAAGCATTGTCTGTTAAAAATAAAATTTAAAACAGTGCGAATATAGTAAGGACGGCGACGAAAATTATAAGTAGTGAAAATATATAATATTGATAGGAAATGAAACTATTTTTCCGGATTTAAATCGCGCATATTTGTTTTTTCAAACAAACCGACGTTTCGGGCCCTTCACAGGTCTCATGGTCACGGTTGACTGAGGTGGTATAGTCATCAACCAGTTATGTCTAATATTGATGCAAACCACCCTATTTTTTCACTATAATTACAATAGTTATTAATTAAATACGTTATTTTTAATTTTACAAAAACGTCGGATTGTTTTAAAAAACAAATATAATCGATTTAAATCCGGAAAAATAGTTTCATTTCCTATGTGTAACAATCGCGGAAACCTAAGAACTCGATACATAATATTTAACTTACAAAATATTATTTCAGCTCATTTGGGTGAAAAAATCTATAGAAGATTGTGTCCAACAATGATATTTCTAAGATACTAGTGTTTACATAATAATAGTGTTTACAAGACGATATGAATATAAAGCAGAGGAATCTGAGAAAAAATAAGTGATAAACTCAAGGTATTGCCTTCTTGGGCTCTTTGAGCGTTCAATTAATATGATGATTTCGTGTAGCAACAGAGCTCCTTGTGAAAGAGTTCGTCCAGGGAAGCATTGCTACTATACCAATTTCTGTCGCCAAGCAGTAATGTGAGCATTATAGTGTCCCACTTGTAAAGGGTAGCTCATCATTCCTTAAAGCAACACAATGCAACAATATCTATCGAAAATGAATTCGGGTTCAGACGATACAAAATTAATGTCATCTCTAGAGGTGCAACTGAACTCGGGACTGGATGCGACTCAAATTTCGTTATTTTTGACAAGCAACCAGTTCCGGGATCAAGATACTCGCATTTGAGCTCATTGGGGTTCTGTTGCAAATTTAAACCGACCCCGGGTTCAGATGCTACAAACCAGAAATTACAGACATATGGGGTTTGACAACTTTATGTATCAGGATGACAGGTGCAGTGTCAGATTTTTGCGATATAAAAGTGTTATGGGTAGGTGTGTCGCTTACCACCTGATGCACGACTTGTACACTCCCTTGTTTGGACGATATTATAAAAAATAAATAAAAGTGTAATTTGTTTTTTTTATGCTCAAATACGAGAATTATAAAATTTCATATAACTTATTTCATGTAGTTCGTATTATTTTTATGACTTGAAAATTATTTTGTCACATGAATGTGATAAAGTAATTTTTTACTTAGGTATCACATGTGACTTTATTATGCCAAGAGTGTGAATGTCTAGAAACGAGTACGTTAAATTATTTCGTGTAATTTTTATAGTCACAGACATATCACCTAAGGGGGTGTACTTTGCGTGTTTTATCATATCGCTGATTACTGTTACCGTAGTAAAATATAACAAATAATTACCATGAAAGTAATTTAAAAATGTTTGGGACATTAATCAAAAACGTTGAACCCCATTAAAACCCCCTTGAAATACACATAGAAAATGGATTTTAAAGTAGCCAAATTCAAGCAATTATATATGATCAACCTGAAAATTGGTTTTATAGATGAAAATAGCATTCAAATAATATATGTATAATAATTATGTACTTTAGTATTATTTTAAGTATTATTAAATGTGATTTACACAACTTTTCCGCTGATAGCCTCAATTTTCTTAGCTAGTAATTTATTATTATAGAAAGCAGTTATTTTGTTAAAAAAAATTAAATTTTCTTTGTATATTTTTTCATTCCTTTTCTAAATAAATCTTTATCACATGTGTCTCTACAGCTGTTGATAGCGCTTAAGTCTTAAGCAAAATACTGCATGATAAATTGATGTTTTCCTAAGAAATATTAATAATATTTCACCATTTATAGACATAAATTATACGTGGCTGGTGACTCAATGAGGCATTTACAATCAATTGTTATTTTCAGTGTCCACTATGGTCCCACAAGTTCAAATCTCGGAACTGTCACGCGCTATCCAAGAAGCGACGGATCCCATAGTGAAGAAAGTTCTAGAAGGGATTCTAAATGACTTTATGGACTTGCAATTCGAAAAGGAAACTCCCTACACCACAGGGGTCACAGTCCTACCAATGGACACTACCATACAAGACGTCGATACTGCTGTGTCCAGAGTGACAGATTCAAAAATCAAAGCTATTTTAGCAAAAATATCAGAAACTTTCAAATCTGGAGATAAAACTCCACAAACGAATGATGGTTCTTGGAGCCCAAAACTTAAGCCTATATTAGTTTTGGTTAGAGATAATGATGTTTAATAATAAAATCAAACTTGTTACCAGTTCACCATATGCAATTGAAACTTTCCTTTTGACTTCATGTACACACTAGAACTTTGAATGTTAGAAAGATCTTTAATTTTCTCTTGATTAGTCAAAAGCTATTTAGATTAGTTTTCTTATCGTATATTAATTAAATTTAACTGTACTTTTATAATTATCGTTCAAAAATATATGGACGTGAACTTATTTCACTTTATGTAATACTAATTATTATTAAAAAAAATATAGTTTATGCATAGGTTACAGTTTTATTACAGATATCTAAACGATTTCCTACTTGTCAAATATATTTAAAAATGAAAGGGAAAACTAATTTCATGTTTTTGAGTAAGGACTGCTTAGTCGAGAACTAGATCACAAAAAATTTGTCTCACTTTGAGTTAAGTAGATATCTTTTAGTTGTTTCTCACAAAATTCTAACGATGGTAATATTGACCTGTAGAAATTACAATTTTATGAGCAATAGCATAATCTTCAATTTACATATTTTGAGTTACATCACTATTGTAATAGCACTGCGATATATCTATATAATACTGGTGGACCAGTCGTGGACGACTACTGGGTACGATAGTACAATTAGAGACTGCGGTAAAATATTTCTTACGGCACTTAAACTTCTAACAAGCGATGTCTGTCTGCACTGTCTGGCACTCCCAGAAGGTACACGTTGGGGAAAGCGGGCAAATACGCGCAAATGCGAACAATATTAGTATTTTAAAAATAACGTATTGCGTCAGTCTCTATGTTCTCGATTCATTATATGTAACTCTATGTCTGCCAGATAACTTACGGATACCTTGTTTTTATTAAACGATGAAATTTAAAAGTGTTTTAATTCTCGTTTATTTTTTGACCGATTTTTAAAAAGAGGAGTTTCTCAATTCGGCTGTACTTTTTTTTTCGTATGTTACGCAATTACTCCGACATTTCTGAACCGATTTCAATGATTCTTTTTTTAGTTGTAAAGGGGGTACGTCAGTGGTGGTCCCATTGAAATTTAAGAAACATCTTACATCTTATAATTATTAATAACAAATATCGAACGCTTAGAATTAGGATTCCTGCGATCCGGCCGGATTCGAACCGATGTCTTTTAGCAAACCATGCCAGACGCTATGCCAACTAAGCATAGTTAAGTTCACAGTTCGGTGCTCTCCTTGACGAAATAATACTCGTATTGAAAGGATCTAGAGTAGCTTATAGTTTAAACAACGACGAAATGAATTTCATGTAGGTTTTGGTCTAAAAGTTGGATTTATTATAGATTAATGAATTAGTCTTATCTATCAAAAGCGTCAAGGTACATACAACGCTTGATCTCGGTGTATTATCCACCTTGAATTTCTTCGGCGCCCTTTCCCCCTTAATTAATCCATTGCATAGACTTTCGTTTAGACTCCGGGTCATTCTGGCGAATCCACGTTTCATTAACGGTCACGATAGGATCATAAATGCCGCACAGATTTTTGCCGACTAAGAAATCCATGCAACTCTCACGTTGTCGTTTCTTGTCAAATGGCGTGAGCATAATTTGGTACCCAACGCGCACAATTTTTTTTCATATTCCAATGTTGATGTAAAATTTATCCAATTCTTTCTTTGATGATTTGCAACTTCTCCGCTATCTGCTACAATTTAACTCTTCAATCGGTCAGCACACTTTTCTCGTTTTTTTTTTTGACATTTTCCTCTGTCACTACCGTTATTGGACGTTTCGGGCGGGAGTCGTCTTCACAGCCTTCTCGCTCTTGCCGAAATAAAGGAACCCATTTTTTAACCATCGTATTTGAAGGTTCAGAATCCTGAAGAATCGATGACATGTCCTTAAAGTGTTTTTCCTATTTTTTAACAAGGTACTTTATTACGGCGCGGTGTTCCAAATCGCGAGAATTTGCAGATTCGGGAGATATAACGTCGGGAAGTTCCAGAAAATATTCAGTTATGACTTTAAAAAACAAAATGTAAGTAGTTTTAACTACCATTGAACCTAACAATAAGAGGTATCGGCCATAAGACGGTAGGTAATTTTTAAGTACTTCAGGCCGCGAACTTATCAACCGCTCCTCGTATATTTAGTGCTGTGTCCGTACGTGTGCCTGCGTAGTTTTAACGACACTAATATTTGAAGAGTCGAGTTCCAAATAGAGTGGTGTACTATTGGAAAATACACGGCGTTTGTGTTTTTCTTTTTCAGTAACGTCCAATTTGCTGCAAGTTGTCATTATATGTATACCTACTACATTTCTGATCTATCTTTAGACTAACTCTTAACATCGTCTACCTTTATACCTAAATATTTTTAAATAATTCCAGAAGCAAAACTGATGAATCAAAAATCAGGTACAATATCAAATCAGCATCAACATCGTCAATGTAGTACACATCCCAGTGCTGGAAGCGGGTCTTCTTTAGGTCACAGCCTATGGATTATTCATGTACCATCTTCGACACGCATGTTTCATTATAATGGTTTTTCATGCACCGTTAGCAAAAAGGATTGCTACTAAACTTTACAAATGTAGAAATTAATAACATAGGTACCAATACGCGCTTTAAACATTTCGCATCTAAAATTTGGAACGATCTACCTCAGCCTCACACACACTCACTCACTCACTCACTCACTCACTCACTCACTCACTCACTCACTCACTCACTCACTCACTCACTCACTCACTCAATTACGCACGCACACACACACACACACACACACACACATTTTTATAGATATTACATTAACAGCAGATGTATAAACTGCCAGAAATAAATAAGTGTAACTAATTATGAGAGAAGACACTGATTTGCGTAACACAGGTTTTTGACATTGAACCTAGCTCGGAAGTCAGGGCCTTACAATGAAATAATGAAATGTAACGTTTCTGTTTAAATAAAGGATTATTATTATTATTATTATTATTATTAGCCTGTACGGACGGCTGTGTATCAGGCACTACCAACACGTTCAAACGAAAATGGTTTCTGTGGCTCAAGAAAAATATTGAAAGATGGGATGGTTTTAACGGGGGAACAAAGTGTTAATGAGTTTGCAAAATATTTGTAATTTAATTTGTAATATATGGGGGTCCATAGTGGTCCCATTTCATTTTGAAGAAAATCATGTTAAAATATTAATAAAAAATATTTATAAGCGTGTCACATCGCTAGTCATCAAATTTGTTATTGTCGTCAAAAAAGTCTTGTACACTATAAAAAATTTAGTACTTAACCATTTACTAAGAGCATTTTTAAATTTTATGTACTCTAATCTTTTAAATTCATTCGGAATGTTGTTGTATATTTGACCGACATCATATAAAAGCTTTTGTGGTAAAATGCTGAGGTATGATTGCCCGAGTAAACCATTCTATGCTCGTGTCTTAAACTTCTATGATACCTTTTATCTGCGATTTCAAAATACGACGCATGCTTCTGGACAAACGTAGCAACCTCCTTAATGTACAGGTACGGTAAAGGTAGGATTATGTACTTGTCGAAAAATGGCTTACACGAATCCACTGAAACCCACCGCAAATGATACGTACACAGCGTTTTTATATCTTAAATACTTGCATAAACTCTACTGAGTTTCCCCAAAAAATTATACTGTAATTTATAAGCGACTGCACATAACCAAAACAAGCTGTTAAGGCCGCATCCACAGACGCATTCTATACTAATTTTCTCAATGGGTAAATAAACCGTGACAATTTGTTACACAAATTCTCAACATGGACTTTCCAGTTGCAATTGCTGTCAAGGATAAGGCCCAAAGATGTTGTGTGTTTAACTTGTTCTATATTAACAAGATTAAACGAGATCGTCGTGTGTTTGTATTTGGTTTTTCAACGACTTTTTAGCCGTAGCGCCAACGAAGGACTTTTTCTGAGTGTTCGTTTTTTGTATTAATAATTATAACAATCTAGTGGAGTAATTTCACACAAAAAATAATTGAATACCAATTCAATAAAAATTTAAATACAATGAATAACGACATCTTTAGCCAGGGCTGGTAGCTGTAAAGGTATCTAACTGGGTGACGAAATACTTAAGTTTGTTATTTACTACAATGTTCAACACCATAGTGCTGAAATATTGAGTGAGATATCTTTGCGCAAAGTGATCAGGTAATGCCTATTCACAACAGTAGCAGTGCCACTCAGAGAGATTTAAATCGCAAATATCTTAGGGACACTGCCATTGCGCCCGTCACCCTGACGCATAAGTTGACAAGCCCCATATGCCTGTAATTTCACCAGCAGCCTTACCATTCTAAACCGGAACGCAGTAATGCTCACATTCCTGCTTGGTGGTAGAAATAGGTAAGGTGGCAGTACTTCACAGTAAAAACTCTTTCACAAGGAGCTCTACTGCTACTAAAGTAGGTAGTTATTTATTGATGTAGGTAGTTATTTGAGTATATGATATCGTAAATTATACATTGAACATATATTAGAAGTCATTCAAATGCCGTCAAATAATTTTATTGGTACAATTTGACTACCATAGATTAAGTTATCTGCTCTATAATATTTGATAATGTTTATTGTTGTTTTTATCAGAAATTTTAGTATAAATTAGAATTGTTATTTGATTTCCTTTATACTGTCCAACGGTTAGGTAAGTGCTAACAGATATTTATTAAGACCCTACAAAATTTACAGGCACGGAAGCCAATTTTAATCAAGTTCCTCTCTTTTAGTCTTCCTACCGTGATCGAATTACTAAGGTCAGTACCTTAGTAATTCGATTACGGATTTCTTGAATGAACGTTCGATTCGAGTAATCTTAGAAGGCTCTTTTGCATTACGGGCTATTATAGATGCCGTAGTTCCTTGTGGTTCCGTACTGGAGCGTTACTGTAGTAATTGGTATACATTTTATTATTATTTTTTAATTAAACCAAAAATTGTTCCTTATCTTAAAATTATAGCGAATGTTTTTGTTTATGTGGCATAAATTTTCCATCACGAAATATTCCATTACCCACACTAACTCAGACAAACACATACACCCACACACACACGCACACACACTCGTACACAAAATTACATAGATATATTTATCACAATTTGCATATTACAACGTATCCAACTTGTTATACAATTATTACTTAGAGTACTTTTTATCGAGACTTTTAATAATAGATTCTTTCACTTTATTTTTTTGTATTAAATTTTTAATTTATATTTTTCTCATGAAATAGACTTAAGCCTTGTCAAAATTTGGGAGAGGGCACTGGCTCCTGTCACACAGGTTATACCTAGCTCAGGAGTCAGGGACTTCATCAATATGTTGTAGTCTATTTTGTGACAATAAATATTATTATTATTATTATTACTGTAAGCAACTCTCATTCTGCTACTTGTCAACGATATGTTAATCTCAGGTACTTTCGTGTATGACAGCACAGTTGTAGATAAGTATTTGACCGATGCAATGGTCAGTGGAGAACAAATCCAATCATGTAGAGAATCCGTGGTTAGTCAGTTTCAAAGCGAGAGTGAATAGTCATTGTTTAGGTTAAAGTAGCAGAAGAGCTCCTTGTGAAAGGGTTCGTCCAAGGAAGTACTGCCACCTTACCTATTGTAAGCATTACTGCGTTCCGGTTTTGAAGGGTAAGAGTGATGGCAAAATTACAGGCACATGGGACTTGTCAACTTATGTCTCAGGATGACGGGCGCCGTGGTAGTACCCCAGAGATCTTTGTGATTCAAAGCTTTGCCTGGCACTGCAACTGTTATGGACAGGTGTGTCGCTTACCACCAGACGCACGACTTGCTTGTCCCGTCATTTGATATTACAAAAAAAATGTAGGTGTGCATGCTTCATCGTCACTTTCTGTCAGGTGAGGTGGAGGTCAAATGCACACATATTATTTTTTTATAAAAAAAATCACGTACTTACTTTTATTCTTATTATTATAATGTTATTTGACGGAGGTCGTCCCCTCCGTGGTTAAGGGGCTCGCGTGGCTTCATGGTGTCGCCATCTCTGACGTCCCGTGTTCGACCCCCAGCCGAGTCAATTTAGAAAAAGTAACTTTTCTATATTGTCTCGGGTTTGGGTGTTTGTTGTACCGGCATTGTTTATGGAAACAAGTGCTTTGTTACTTACTTTGGGGTCAGAGCAACGTATGTGACGTTGTCTAATATTTATATTTATTATTTTCTTTATGAGTCAATGCACAATTTAGATATATAATATTCTAAATGAGTTGTTTGGCGAACACCCCACGCGAACTCACCTAAAATATGACAGTCAAATACGTAATTAACCAGCACAACAAAATGATAAAAACTTAAAACTTTAACGCAAATTCAACGTCAGAACTGAGAATTAATTTTGTCACCAGGTTAAAATTCAACCATGAAGTTCCTTACCGTTTTCGTTGCCGTGGTGGCCGTGGCTGCTGGCGTACCCACTGGCTGGAATTTGGCGGTACCCCGACCATTGCCTGAAGCCGTCGCCCCCGTTGCTCCTGTGGTCCCTGAGCCTGCGCTCGTCGTCCCTGGTGTTGTTATTGAGCCCGCTCTAGTTCCTGGTGTCTATGAGATTTCTGCAGCCTCCACCTCTCTTGTTCAGCTCATCATTAACATCAACGCTGGTGAACAGGTGAGAAATTTAGCAATACTATAAATACAGAAAAGTAACATAATGTTCGGGAATAAAAGAGCCCAGGACGGAAAAATGTTGATTTATGCTACTATAAAACTTCAGTGCAGTCACAGACTAGCGTAGAAGAATTAGGTACGTGTTGTAGAAATGTCAAAATATCAATAATATTCAATGTTAAATTTTCTGTTCCAATCACTAGCATTAAAAACGATACTTCCAATGAACATAACGCCTACTTAATTTTTGGATTTGTTATGTTTTTATTTTCTTTCATTTTTTCACGGAATTAGTTTATTGTTTTTTTTCGAATTTTGTTTTTTGTTTCTTTACCTTTTTTCACAAAATTCGGGGAGCATAATATTAGTAAATAAATATATCTGTTTACAAAAATAACGGAAAATAAAGTTGACATAGTGTTCACAGGAGGTATCGAAAAGATTTCGTGTATGAACCTAATATGTTAGGATCTAATAATTAAATTCTATACCTTTGTTACAGGCACCCGTTTTCCCAGAAACAGTGATCGACCCCGTAGAAATCGTCGATCCAATCGCCGTGGTCGATGAAGCTGAAAATACCCCCGAACCTGTAGTTCTCCCTGAACCCGTCCACCCCGAAATCATTCTCCCCGAGCCCGTCGTACTCCCCGAACCCGTCCTCCCCGGACCCGTCGTTCTCCCCGAGCCCGTCGTTCTCCCCGAACCCGTCCTCCCCGGACCCGTCGTTCTCCCCGAGCCCGTCGTTCTCCCCGAACCTGTCCTCCCCGGACCCGTCGTGGTCTCTCCGATTGTCGTTCCTGAACCAGTTATTGTGAACCCTATTGATATAGTTGCCGTTGGCGAACCTGACATCAACCCTGTAGATCTAATCAACCCTGTCCCCGTTGTTGTTCCTACCCCCGCTGTTGGTGGGATCAGGGTTTGAAAAAGTTTAAAGAGACAAATTAATTTAAAAAGAAGTCGTGCCAGATAAACTTTTAAAGATAGACAGGCATTTATTTTCCTTTTTAGTCAATAAAGTTATAAATATTTCTAGAATTCCAAAGACTGGTTTACTGCGTGGTTTAAGCTTAAAGGAACTACGAGTATAATAGATAATAATAAACTAGAACATTTAACTGGAGAAAACGTATTCCATTAATAATTTGAAGTGTATAAAAACAAAAATAAACGCATTTGAACTTTAACAGGTATTTTTTATTGTTTTTTATTTCTCATAAGACTTATAAAATATTGTAGTTTATGAGCATCCATTAGGTACCATAATACTTATATAATACCATAGTACTTTATTATATCATTAATGAAAATTGACACCGGAGAAATAAGTATGGCCTACATTTATTTCTCTCGTGTGTTTGGGTGTAATTAGTGGTTGTTTATGTGTGTGTCCATGGCACCCACGACACATGGTGTCCCTAGTGCGAGGCTATGTTGAGCGTGTGCGTTATTATTATTAGAAGTAGGATATTTTCTTCAAATTTGAAGGACCCATTACTGAGGTACCCCCATTCCAACAAAAAAGAATCATCAAAATCGGTTCACAAATGTCGGAATAAACGCGTAACATACACACAAAAAAAAGTCAAATTGATAACTTCTCCTTAGTTTTGAAGTACGTTAAAAACTTTTTCTTATACCCTATAGTTTCACCTGCTAGTCGAAAAAGGGTGATATTTGAAGACATTGTAAAGTGCCCAACCTCTATCATTCCAGGGTTAATTATAATAACCTTTTCTCAAAAAGAGAACTATGTTCAGCTGTGGTGCGTTGATAAGGGCGACAGCGCTACAGTTTTGTTGGGAGTGGTTTCATTTTTGCAAGTCATGCCAAGTAGATTTAAAATCGAGAATATTTATACAGCGTTGGAATACTGCCAAGCTGGCGATGACATGGGAATTCGTAAATGGGCGAAATGCGAGATATTTTTTAGGAAATCTATGCGTTTTCTACCAAAAACATTAAACATTTAACAATTTTTGAAGTCGCCATTTTTTCATCGTTTCGGTTGTGCAAGTTTTTACTATATATCTCACCCATGATGTAATAAGTCCATATCTGCAAAATAACAACTTTTCAGAATACAAATTTAAAGATTTTTCGAATGAAAATAGTCAATACCGGTTATTACTAATGGTATTATAAACGGTACCAATAAAATTATTTGACGGCATTTGAACGATTTCTAATATATTTTGTCTACTCCTGTACTTTAATCTAATCTTAAACAGTAATTTAATTTGTCTATAACCATTTATGATATTACCATATCATAAACGTTGATGATAATGCTTTTGGAGAGTATCGATACAATATAGTTTAACAACTTAACACAATAGGACATGAAAGAATGTTTTTGGATATAATTGCGCCTATTTTTTTTTGAAACAAACCATACGTTTTGAGCACTCTATAGGTCCCGTAGTCCCGGCAGAGTGACATTCAGAAAGAATAAAATATAATGAAATACATCCGAAAAAGTAGTTTTAGTTCCTATATGTAACTATCGGGAAAACCTAAGAACTCCAAAAGCTAACACAAGTCAAAATTCTTTCTTTTGTTTTCGGAAACTCGTTTGCAAAAACGATCAGGAAAGCTTGTTAATAAAACTGTATGCCAGACTCTATCTTGAGAGACCTGGAGACGTTTAGGGACGACACATGGTAAGAACCTCACAGTGTTTCACTGCTTCACTGACAACAAACACAAGGTCTGCTTATAGACTGACCGTTATGCAATTCGTATTTGTGGTAAGTTATGAGTACCAGCATCTTTATAGTAGGCTGTAATGATTGTCATGCACGCTGCATAGTGTTATAAAGTACGGACGCAACAGAATTAATAAGCAGAGTTCCTCTAAAGCTCTTGGAAAGTGAGACATTACAGATTACGGAGATTTGTTAAAAGCTTTGTTGAGCTGGTACATAACTCATTTAGGAACTTTGTGCAATCGACTCCATCGTAGATGACCTTGGTTGCCAGTGTACAGTTTTTAGAACGCTGCAAACCCTAGTGTGCAATGTGCTTTGCAGTATTTGCACAGTTTAGTGGATAGTAAGACAAAAGTGCAATATGATACTCATCTCCGTGTTCCTCATTGGGGAAAACAAAAAACTTCTCCTAACAAAATCTGGACAACCCTTACGGTTTTTAACAGGCTAGTAGCAGTAGAGCTCCTGTGAAAGAGAGTCTAGGGAAGTATGTACTACTCTTCTATAAATGAAATAAATCTTTTCGTACAATAAGTATTGTATTTAAACAAATATCCATCTTATCCACGTGTCAACAAAAAGAACAATGTATTTTTCAAAGCGTAATGGCAGAGACAATTTTATATTCAACAAGTACTGCCACCTTATCAATTTCTGTTGCCAAGCAATAATGAGAGTGTTACTGCGTTTCGGTTTAAAAGGATAAGGTGAAATTACAAGCGCATGGCACTTGTCAACTTATATCTCAGGCTATGTCTTTGTGACTTAAAGCTCTGAGTGGCACTGCAATTGGTATGGACAGGCGGGTCGCTTACTGCCAGGTGCATGACTTGTTGACTCGATCACTAGGTATCATAAAAAAGGCTAGGCTATAAAGAACCTCTTTACGATCAGTCCCGTCATTTGGGAGCTTAGACGCCACAGACGGACATAAATTATAGATATAGAAAAAAGGGCATAAATAGATAGAATAGGGAGACAAAGGTTTCGAAGTTATAACTCCTCTATTTATATATAATTATTTCTATTAAGTCTGCTTTTTGTGCCTACTCAAAAATTCACGTCACGAATTAAGCCGACGCTAAGCAATCCTAATTAAACAAACTAGTCGTAAATCTTAGGAATGAGTGTTCTCTATTGCATAATACAATATGACTTAAAGAACGTACATGTTGGAAGAGATGTAGGCATTGCATGTGGTTGAATGCACCAAATTTAGGATGAGATGTTTGCACTGTAACGCCTGTAGACATCTTGGTCATCTATATAAAAGATTCTATAATTATAACGGCCTTTCTCAAAACAACAAATTTTTTTGCGTGTAAGCCTTTCCTGTCCGCGAATAACATCAAACAAAACCTCAGATATTTCTTAAAATAAATAACGGACACATTCATAGCCTCGCACTAGGGAAATCCTGAATCGCGGGTGCCATGGATACGGCCACGGAAGCAGTAGTAGTAATATATGTATATATATATTTAGGGTACACTGACAATCAGCGTCGCAGCCTTTTTCCGGCGGTGACATTAGATGAGTGGATCCTATTACATACGCCACAGCCGCACACATGACATCTACTTAGTCCGCACACCTTCGTATGGAGGTAATTATATACGGAGTCGTAATAGATTACGGGTAGGTACAAGATCTCACAATTGTAAAAAAGTAAGGCAAACTTCCCGAAGTAGTGGAAATGAGATACTTATTATAGTGTTTTTGTATCTCAATCATATCTGTTAGATTTCATTTTCTTGGAAGCTATGCCAAAGAAAAGTATTTAGGGGGGAAAATGCCAAACTACTGCCCAATCTCCTGTACTATGAATACCAAAACAACCATAATCCAGAATACTCAGACCAAAATGGATGGTCTTTGACATGGGACAGTTAATACCTGTATTGTTTTTGTGAGCGCAAAATTTGTATTATAAATTACTTTTAACCTTTCCTATATGATTTAAACTAAATAAATAGTGATATAATTACGAATATCATAACTGTAAAGTATTAAATTAAGAAAAGAGTGCATAATAAGTGAAATTATTGTTAAAAACGGTGTCGTATTGGCGAACAAGTGTATTTTTTGTCATGTCATCTGTTTGGTGCATTCACGCGGATGTCGCGGTTGCGCGGTTGCCGTTCGGGTCATATTTGCGTCAGCAAGCGTATATATATATGATGATGACAATGGTGATGGAAAGGGGAAGGTGGAATTAAAACATCCAATTCCATCGCACACTTTGTGAAATATTCTGTAGAATAACGAACGATAAGCAGGTAATTTTACGGCGGTATTGAAGGTTCTGCAGCTTCACCTCTACTAAATCCAAGTTACCCATAAGCGTTTTGATACGCTTCTCAACTAAATCCAAGGTGTCAGTTGGTATTGTTTATGCTTGGTACAGTTGAAGCAACTATCCCGGTGTGAAGTAACGCCTCACCTTGGAAAGGACGTCATGCTACCTGGCTGCATTTTTAGCCATGGATTCTATGTATCTGCTGAAGATTAAATTGGACGACACGTCCATTCCATGTAGCTGGTGAGATATTACGTGGTTATTGTACATTAGAGAAAAAAATAATATTAAATTGTTATGGGTTCAACTGCGTATCATATATTTATGACAGGACAGTTGTTATTTTGTTATTTAAGTTTATATAATAAACACAGATAACTTTTGATTATAGAGACAACTTGTGTACAGTACCGGCACGCTATGATGGCTGTTTTGACAATTTACAATAGTGAGCTCAAATCTCAATTCATTATCGAAAAAATATAATCTAATGCGAGTCGCATCTATAAGTTTTCATGGGTAGCTGATTAAAAAGTTTTAATAAAACGCAAATAAAAATGGTTACTTAATATGTCGTCAATTCGAAACTGCTTGTTTTGCATAGAGCTTTAACGCGAGTTTGTCGGAGGTAGAAGTTGTGTTGGCCAGCGATCCCATAAGTGACGATCGTATTAGAGTTTATTTCGAATTTCGAAAAACAAATGCCGAGTAGTGTCGTAAAATTGTACATCTATAAATTTTATTGCACGTCACCACTGACGACAATGTACAGTAATTACCTCCTTCAACGTAGTTGTGAATTAATACGAAACTTGATGAGCGGAAAAACGTTAAAACAGTCATCATAGCGTGCCGGTACTTTCGTTTTTGCGTTTAATGCGCCATATTGTTTCTGTACTATTACGCCTCTCGTTCCGTGCGAAGCAGCGGAAGGTACAATAAACCCGGTCGAACCATATCCGGGCAGTAAAACTATATCGACAACTTCAGGAGGTTTTATTGTAGTTTGATATTTAGTCAATCCTTTTATTGCCAGATTAACAATAATGTGCGTGTTCACTGTTGAACACTGAGTATCTATCTTATCACCTGCTTTATTAACCATTTGTTTGGCAATTAGATTCAGTCGGCGGCATACAGCAAAACGATTTCCCGACAGCGAATCCCAGGTGAGGCGGCTTTATTTGATTTCCTACATACGTTACTTTAAAAAAAAATGGATAACTATTGTAATTGTTAAATGCTATCCTATATTCGAGAAACAAAAAAATGAATAAGGAAATTTTTTCCTTCCTTTCCAAATATAACTCAAGGTTTTTGAAAATGACCTGGCATAAACAACTCAATCATGAACCCTCTATGACATATGAAATGATTTATTTATGAACAGTTTGTCGCCTTTTTCATCAAAATAAGAAAAATATACTAATATATGTATGAATAGGCTGTATAGTAGAAATTTTGTCTACCTAAATAAAGGGAAGCAAACTTAAAAAAAAAAAACTCAGAATCCTATAAGATGGAAAAAATAAACCCAGAGGTAAAATGTTAGAAGATGGAAAAAAAATAAAGGGTGTTTAGCCGCCAAATTCACAATGTGTAATCGGAGATTGATATTTTGTTATACAGTTTTTTGAGTCAGGGAAACATAGTGATTAATACTAAAAATTATCAAGAAAAAAAAAACTAAGTAGGTATTATACATATCTGAACTTTAACATGTGGATACGAATTTACATGATTTTATTCTCTTTATCCGTTTTGCCAATCGAATGTCAATCAATGTGAAGTTCTATAACTTGACATTGACTGACATTGTTTGACGCGATGACAGATTTACAGTTTCACTGTTCACGTGAAACGGTTAAAATTAATTATATAAAATAAAAACAAATTATCTCCCTAACATTTATTTAGAACAATAAAATACTAGTATAAAAGTATCTAGTGAAAATATTTAAACGATCAACATAATAATATTTTACTTTTATTTTTAGGTCAGCTACAATGAAAGCTTTGATATTGACAGTATTGTTAGCTGCAGCTACTGCTGTCCCAGTCCCTGAGCCTAATAGCGATCCAGTTGAGGTGATCGTAAACGGTGTACCCAAGGGGCATGGCTTGGACGTGGACAACATCCTGAGGATTGATGTACAGAAGCAAATTGATGGTGAAATTGTAGCTGTTGATAATCCTTTACATCCTTTCTCGACCGCTGGAATAATCGAAGCTGCCATTGCCGCTGAAGCTAACAAGCCTGTTGTGCCAGATCCGGTTATTGTTCAACCAGAATCTGTTCCTCCTGAAATCATTCCCCAGCCTATAGTCTTACCAGAAATAGTAGGCCCCGCAATTATTCCCAAACCAGTTATTTTACCTGAACCTATTCAGCCTGAGGTTGTACCTGTAGTTCTACCCGAACCAGTTAAACCTGAGGTTGTACCAGAATCTGTAGTTCTTCCCCAACCAGTTAAGCCTGTGGTTTTACCTGAACCCGTTGTTCTGCCTCCATCTCCAGGCCCTGAAGTTGTGAGTCCAGTTGATCCTGATATTATTGTTTTGCCTGACGAATTTACACCTACGGAAGTTCTTCCAGTTCCTTCTGGAGTGATTTATAACGACGGTATAGTAGATGTCACGGTGAATGGTCCTAGTGATTACAACATCATGGGTACGTTGCAGAACTGGTTCGACGTGATAGTTAACTATCTTACCAATGGTACTCAGCAAGAATCTATCAAGCAAATCATGTAAAAAGTGAAAGATTTATACGTCTATTATGTCAAATTTCTATGTAAAAGTTTTGGTGACAACAAGACGTTTCAAATGGATAAAATCGAACTTCATGGCAACGAACACTTTGTCTTATAACTTTTCAAATTTGCAATTTCCATTAATTTCCACAAAAATCTTGTAACGTTTCAATATCGTAAATATATTAAAAAGACTTGTTTGTTTAAAAATGATTTTTATTGAATATTTAAATGGTAACCCTGTAATATTAAGACAACACATCTACTGTGAGTGTGTTAACTATACAAGAAGTGCAACTGACTTTGGCACGTTCTCGGGTTTGGCGAAACTTTGCAAGGGCCATTAGCATCTTCCAACTTGACACAATTGCTGCACTGGACAGTTTATCAATTTACATAATTTCTTGTCAAATATGGGCTTAATGCCTCTCATCCAAACATCAGCAGGAATAAATTGTATGTCCCTATATTCAAATATGTACAATGTGTAATGTTAAATAGGCACATGTGCTAACAATAATAATAATAGTTTTTTCATCACACTTGCACGTAAATAGTATGATTGCAGGCAGGCGAACTTGACTATAATGCCCCAAATAAAACCCTCGGACCTCTTTCTTCTCATTAAAGATGGTCGGTAATGAGAAGAAAAAGTCCTGAGTGTCTTTTATACGTGCAAGTGTGATGAAAAACATTGTATGTTTCACGGGCGGTAGGTACGAGAATTACGAATCTTGACTCCAAAAGGGTTTTCTAATAGGGTTTCGTTCGTAATTCCTTATTTACAGGTACTTTAGTACACAATCTATTCTACTAATTCTACTTTAATTTGTCAATTACAATTTCATAGACCGTATCGTCACTTGGTATTATAAAAAAAAATATCACAAAGGCGCTCTTTTTAGTCTATTGTCTATGGTACTGACTACTGAACTGAAAATAGCTACACAGAACTATCTATTATATTTTCTTTCTGTTTATGTCGCGGTGGTACTTAAAAATTAGACTAAATACATGGAAATAGCTCTCAGTATGCGCCGTTATCGGAAGGACGCAGTGTGTCCTAAAGGGAAGCAATACGAGCCCTGACAACAGCTATTGACCATTGACATCTTTGGTTGGGTTGTTTCTAAACATTTTTCTACAAAAATTTATAACAAAAATTGAATGACTGTGTTTTTTCTATTCCTACATAAACAATATAAAAGGAAGAAAAGATTTTCAATAGACCATCAGTCATTATTTGTTGGGTCCTAGTTGGTTGATCTTGTCGTTTTACTTATAGTTAATAAACAGTGTACTATAGTTATATATAATATGTATATATGTGTCGTCGAGTTGCGGATACCAGCTCGTTGCACCAAGTACCAAGTATGTATATATGTAATAAAACCTCCGTATGCAACATTCACTTTGCTTATAAGTGATTCTTTCTCAATTAATTAATACTGGATTTACGTCCTCGTGGACGAGTGGCTTGCACACCGGATTTTCATGGTGTCGCCACCTCTGAGATCCCAGGTTCGATACCTGGCCGAGTTAATATAGAAAAACTAACCTTCTATATGGTATATAACTTTCTATATATTTGTGGTATCGTAATTGTTTCCGATTTCCATAATACAAGTGCTTTAGTTACTTAGTTTGGAATTCACTGCCGGCAGACTTGTTCCCTGAACGTTATAACTTGCACCTTTTCAAGGCGAGAGTGAATAGGCATATTTAGGTGTGCATGCTACATCGTCGACTTCATCGTCACTTTCCATCAGGTGAGATGGAAGTCAAATGCGCACTTATTTATTTAATAAAAAAATAAATAAACAATCAGAGCAACGTATACAGTGATGTTGTCCATTTATTTCATTAATACCAGTTTATGCAATGAATTATCACGACTGTAAAAACTATTTAATGAAATGGCTGTAATTGTTAAAGTATTTTGAAACTGAATCTGCATCCGTGTAATCGACTGTTAAACAAAAATGTTTTTAGTTTTTTAATATTTTTAGTTATTTATACTGAATAAAGTTTTATGGAAATCCACACAAAGCAAACAGAAATCCGCTGGGTGTAATGCGTGTATATCGATATGTGGATGTAACCTGGAATCTGTGGTATATCTTGTTTTGTGTGAAAAAAAATTTAAACAAAAGCGACAATTTTATAAACGTAATTTTATAATGTAATTCAATCATAATTTACACATTTAGCTACTCATGGCAAAGCATGTGAGAGTTAACTAAAGATTTTAATAATTTGCAATGAAAATTGTATAATAAGGCGGAAAAAGACTAAAGAATTATGATATCGAGTAAATGAACCATCTATTAATAAAACCATTGAGCGCAAAGGGCGATAAGGTCAAGGAAAGAAGTTAAGCCCAATTTCTGCTCAAATGAGTAGTCGCCTTTTCTGAGACATAAACATATTGACCATCCGCTTATACCTACCCTGCAAGGAATTATTTTTGTTATCAGTAATGACACTCTTTATTGATTTTCATCTACTGTTTATAAATATAACTAAACATTTAGCCGCAGTAGTAAATCGTTATTAGACAGCTTTGTCGCCAAAACAATAAATTATCGAATTAGAAATATTGCTGATAATTAAAATTAATATACAAGTAACTAAAGATACTGTTAGCATTATCAATTCGGCGAAAATGTATCGTACGATTTGAACATAATTTCATTAGTATGTCCTACTGCACAAATGCATATTGTGAGTCGGAATTGGACCTATTGTCCTATTACTACTGGTTGTTCGTTCTCGACCGGAGTGCGGGATTTCGTACCCTTGGTATGATAAAAGTGTTCTCATACGTCAAAAGTGCTTTCATCACATGTATATCATAACAATGATACGAACTACATGAAACAAATGACGTACATGTGAAATTTTATAATTCTTCTGTTTAAGCACAATAAGTTATCGACCAATTTCGTTTGTAGAATCTTCAGACCTCTCTCCTGTAAAGTTGTCATTTTGCAGGTGTGTCCTTATTACACCAAGGGTGCGTTTCTTTCTTTTAGTCATTTTTCTTTTACATCGTATTTGTCTTTGTGTAGATTTCCAACTTTACAGTCAATGAGATTACACGATTAAGAAAAGTTTTTACCTAATAGGCCATTACACCGATTTTTCACTTTCCTAAAGTTTCGGAGAGCCAAATCTCTTGGTAATTTCCAGATTTTTCCTTATGATACCAAGTGACCGGACGAATAAGTCCTACGCCTGGTATCGACACGCGACCTAAGGGGCATAGCCACCGCGGCTGTCACTCTGACACATGTTAACAACTCCCATGTGCCTGTAATTTCACCAGGACCCTTATCTTTTAAAACTGGAACTCATCAGTTATCACCACGAGTTTGTTTTATTTCATTGTCGTACATATGGGGTTTGTTTTATTTTATTAAAGTCGACAACAGCTTAGGTTACATTTGAATGAATTAACACAGAACTAAGTCAATCGTAGGTATCTTGGGTATAATAAAGCAACATGAGATCATACGTCAGAAGCACTTTTATCAAATGAAAATTATGTTCGTACCTATTTGAAAATTTTATAACTCTCGATCGATTAATTTCGTGCGTAAAATCTTTAAACCTCTCTCTTGAAAATTTGTAATTTTGCAGATGTGACCTTATTGCAACAAAGGTGCAGAAATATCGAATTATACAAAAAGATGTTGTGCTCATCAAATACCGTGAGCTATACACAATTAATATACACAATATATTTAGGTTGCTGGAGTAAAAAGATTGACTATAAGCTTTGAAAACTTCATCTTTCAACATCCAGATCATCGTTTAGATCACTTGTTAAAATATGACCAAGATACTTTACTATATCTGTGACCTTCAACAGAACACTAACATAATAGGAAGAACATAATATGGTTGATTTTACCCGCCTTAAACACCATGACCTCGTTTTTCTTCGGGTTGTATTCTAACCCATGTGCCATGGCATACTCCTCACAAGTCTCAAGCATCTGCGTTAACGTACCTACTGACCGACGGGCTAAGCAGCACCATGCCATCAGCATAACTTAAGTTATTTATACAAGTGCTTACCACGTAACATCCTGCATACATGCTGCTGAGCCTGCCTATCAGCTCGTTAACAACAAAATTACGACTCAAAATTCGGAAGATTTCGCGGTATTTTTTATCCAAGCAGTCACAGATACAGCAAACGCATTAATGTGGGAAAATAATATGGCGGCACCGTCTATGCGGAAAAGGCACGGAACTAAAACCGAACGTACAACTGGCTGTTTGAGTATGTTCGTTCGCTCGAAGTAAATTAAAAAATTAGGTACTTTTTACTCCCTAGGGATTAAAGGATGCACTTTACTCCCGCTACGTAAGGCTGTATTGACGTACTTTTAGAGCATAAGAAGTGAAACAGTTTTTTTTAAATTATGTGTCAACTATCGAGTTCTTAGGTTTCTTCTTTCTTGGACCATCTTATTCTTTTAGTACTAAGATCCGATTTACTATGGAACAAGAGAATTGTGGTACTTTAGCTTTCTTAGATGTTTTAATTAAAAGAAATCCTAATAACCCTTAGGCCATACTGTATTTCGAAAGAAAACCATACAGATAGGGATCTCAATGGTAATTTCCATCACCATCCTAGCCAGTTAGCTACCGTGGCCAAATTTTTGTTTCAGAGAGCACATGGTGCATATAAAGCAAGTCCCACATTCGAATATGTTGAAGATTTCACGCCAATACCGCAGGCCCCGTGTGAAACGACCAACAGTCGAGTGAAGACCTGCCATCTTACCTTGCGTGAGAGGTGTTACAGACAAGATCGGAAGAGTCCTCAGGCGTGCATCTATCAAGACCTATTTCAAGCCCCTGAGAAGATTTCTCGGTTCCTGAGACCCGTGAAATGTAACATCCCCTTACAGGATGCAGGAGTTTACAAGCTTGACTGTGAGCGCGGTCTCTCTTATATTGGACAAACAAAGCTAAGTATTAGTACCCGCGTCAAAGAACATGTAGCTGATGTCAAACACCGTCGCGTTAACAAGTCTGCAGTCTGCGAGCATGTCATGGATAAACCTACACATTCAATGAAGTTTGACAAACACTGTCCCAAACCCCGAAGTCCGTTATATACTCAGGACGCTGCGAGAGGCCATTGAAATTAAAAAACATCCTAATTTCAACAGGGAAGATGGTTTCTCCGT